TCTTGCTTTAATATATCTACATCCCCGAAGCAAAAAAGAAATTTCTAAGCAGAAATACAGCAGCCCTCGGGGGGAATCGAACCCCATCTCCTCTGGCAAAACGTCCTACTGCTACCCGATCGGGCGCATTATTCTACTATGCTACCTGATACAGTGGGCGCTGGAGCAGATCATAAGGACTAGTTGATTGCAGATAAGGGAGATAAAAGGGATCTAATCTAATACTCTCTTTGCACAAACTTTACCAACTTTGGGGCGGGCCGCGTTTTTCGACAAGGACAGCCGGTAACTTTGATCATGAAAGGAGGAAGCGTCCCATGTGAATCTCTCACCAACTACATCTACTCTATGGCCCTTAGAAACCACCCCCCCCCTTTCCCCGCGCCCTGCCCCACGATTCGTGGATAAATTTATAGGCTCCCATTCCAAGGCGAGTATTTACCTAGAATTCATATCCCACCAGAAGAGGCGCGGCTATCAACCATCCCCTACCACGCCAGTGACCTTGATCCTGCGGGGAGTCAATACTGTAGCTCAGTGTGAACCTTTTTGCTGAGACGAGTTCCCGTCATGAGTTATCACTCGTTAGCGCAGGTGTTTTTTTCTTTTTTTTTGTTTAGTTCATTAATTGTATGCAGACCGTAGTCTATGACAATTAGCGCAGGTATTGGGAGAGTCTCGAGGCATTCCCCAGATCAGTATAAAGCTGGCCCAGAAGAAAAAGGGAGGGTAGAAATGACAGAGACCTAAGGCTCACGGCTTCATGGTGCGCAAACACTTTCTTACACGTGGCCTGTTGGGCCAGCACGTTTGTTCTAGATCTTACTGTGGCCTGTTTGTTCCTTATGTACTGGTTCTCCAGATACCGCTTCGGCTTCCTAGCACACTCTTTTGAATGGCTGGTAAAATGGTATGGTGGTATCTATGCACTACCACTCACCCCACGCCTCCCCACAGGAGTATTCAGTTTAGTGAAGGAAGCTAGGGTCTAGGATAATCTAGCCTATGAAGAAAAGGACTCTCAGAACTTGAGACCGCGAACATGGCGAAGAAATTCTCTTTATCTTTATCACTCAACCACACACTTCGTCAAGCATCAAGACCGCGCCTACATCCCGCCCTTCCGAATTGCTACAGTTCCCCATATGGCCAGGCAGTCACCAGATATCACTCGGTTGAGATGTCTAATCTGGCGTCCTCCTCAAGTGGTATTTTTGTTAACGCTGAGAATAGACGATAAAAGGTTTAGTATTAAATAGATGCCCACTGTGTTGAATCTTCAGAGGGACTTAGATTTCCTTTGGTATTTGATTCGAAGCTTAGGCTTTGGCTTTAGCGTACCCCCCGTCGTTCCTTACTTGTGATCATAGTGTCCGGCTCTTTTCAAAATTGTTTTTTTATGGGAGGAGTCCTATTGGCTTGCCCAGCCATAGAAACCCTGTTTTTAGACCCCTGTTTCTACAATAATTCTACCTCTCGCTGTATGTGATAAATGTATTTAGCGTTTATTCTTCGAACTTTTACGAAATGACCGAACCGAGTGATGCTACATTGAAGAGAGAAAACTTGAAAGGAAAGATAAGAGAGGTATGCTACAATTGTCCAGGGCTATCCCAACAATGAACAGCTAATAATACTTTGCAGTAACGCTGCCATAAGTCTTGCCCTCAAATTCAAACTCAAAAGTCAATGTTGCACTCTCTATCGTCATGATGAGATTATAGTTGATATCATAATACTCAAACCCGTACGGACTCGTTCTCTTTGGAAAGATGTCCTTCGGTATTGATGCCGGGAGCCTCGACGTCAGTTTACACACCAAGTACGTATCTATAACACATATAATTAGCACCATTGAATAAATCTATATAGCGTCAGGAAACTCACCAGTACTATTCGTCTTGATTGGCGCCTCATCGAGCTCACTCGCCACCAAATCATCCTCAAACACCATCTCCTCGTCCCAGTGTGTCTTCCACCTGTTGTAAAACGGGAAACTGATTGGCTTATCCTCACTAACCTCATCACCCTTCTTGATATACCAGAAAGCACGATCGCGCACTCTTGGTGTACCATCGAATGAGCTGAGATACTTTTCTGTCTCATCATGAACATTAGGGTCAAAGGCCTGAGTACAGTTGACACCGTAATTTCTTCTTGCGTGACGGCTTCTCACAATGCCCCCCTCCAACCCACGCAACACAGCACCACGTACCACAGCACTCCACGCGTTTGTGGGCTGCAGAATCTCAATTTCGACATCAGGATTGCGGGTACTCTTGAGATCCTTAAACAGCCGCTGCCGGAGGTATTCACTTGCACCAAAACCTCCGACTAGCAGGATTGCGGAGACGTCGAATCCGTCGTCACCACTCTCAACAGCATCCATCTGCTTCTGCACCAACCCGACAATCTGGGAAATCACGGGGTCAAAGATCCCCTTCATCTCCTCCCTCGTGAGGATGAAGAAGCCGTCCTCTACACCCGCCTCTTCATTATCTGCAACTCCGGGAATGGGGCAGGAGAAGATATCCTCATCCTCATCTTCGTCCTCATCGCTGAACGTACGCTTGAGGAACTCGTCGAAATGCTTCAACATCACAATACGGCCCTTTGGCTTCATGGCGTTGAACACATCATCACCGATCCGCTTCCGCACAAAGTTCTCAAAGTTGGCATTGATGTATGTAGACCCACACATGCCACCAGTACCCACCGCGCACTCCTTCACTTCAAGTGTAGGCCTGAGCGCCGTGATTTGGTAAGAAATAAGATCCTGATCATTGACCCCTCAATTAGTCACCGATCAATGCATTGCCTACCCCAATTAAAGAATCGAAAGGAATAGAAGCCATGCGCAACATACCACCGTACCACCACCACAATCCACCACAATGAACGTATCATCCACCCTCAGGGAATTCGGCTGAATGTCTCTCAGCGTACACACTGCCGCCGCATCGGGCTCACTAATCATTCTAATCTTCGTCCCCTCCCCCAACCCGGCCGCCTCCGCCGCCCGCAGCGTCATCGCCTTCGCCGCGTCGCTCCACACCGCCGGCACAGTCATGACCCAGTCGATCGGCGTGGCCTCCAGGAACTCCTTCCCAAAGTTGCGCTCAAGCGTGTCGACCGTGTGGCGCTTCAGCGCGCCGAGATAGTCGGCCACGACGTCCACGGGCTCCTTGCCCGCCGGGATGAGGTGCTTGGTCTTGCTGATGGGCGAGTTGGCGGAGTCGCTGTCGTACTTGCTGGGGTCGAGGAGGAGCTTGATCCAGATGAGCTTCTCGGATTCGAGCGGGAGCTCGAACCCCCATTTGAAGCTGGTGCCGTCGGCGGAGTAGGCGATTTCTGTGGGGACTTTTTCGGAGTTGCGGTTACCGCCCGCTGGCCAGCGCTGGATAACATTGATTTCTTCGGGGGTTGCGGTGTGGGCCTGGAGAGGTTAATTAGTTGTCTGGCGTATATATTGGGAAAGTTGTGGGGGGAAAGTTACCCAGGCTACACCGGAGTAGGTTGTTCCAAAATCGATACCGACTTTGAGGGAGTGAAGTTTAGTCATTGTGGGATATATCAATACCACTGATTCTCAAAGTAGTTTCAATATTTTAAGACGCTCAGGCGTGGATATAGAGGAAGAGACAAGAAGGTAAGTTGCTGTGAGCACTTTCCAGATAGACTGATCTACTGATTCCCTTGAGAAAGAAAGAAAGAGAAATAAGTAGAACCTTGGGGGACTCTTATAAATATAACCAAGCTTCCCCACCTGAACCACAACAAACTAACCCCACTAAATGGTAATTCCACTCCTTCTGGATTCTGATAGTCAGCCTCATTTTTCCATAAAGGCCGCCCAATAGGCAGCAGCCTGTTTTTCTGCACCACAGCGTGAAACATAACATCTCTCCGATGTGAGTCACATAAAAACCTTCTTATCATGAATATCCGAACATGTAATGTAGAGTCCAATCCCCAAAGCTGCTGAGCTTACTGATCTTCACCCGCATGGTGGTTGTTGCTGCCTTGTCGAGCAAGGCTGTACCGGCATTATCCATTATCCAATGGCTTCAGCTGGGTTAGGGTTACACAAGCATTTAGAATTCTGACATGTCAAGAAAGAAAGAAAAAATGTGGGGGAGTATTCCGCGTGAGGAGGGATGAGATGCATGCAGTTGACTTCAATCAGTTGGGTAGTTCCTTTTGGAATGACTCGTTTTATTCTTGTCGAGAGACATTGTTCTGAATTTTGGAGATGACTACAGAACGGAGGCTCTTGGGACATGGAGTTGTTGGAATGAGTAGAGTAGAAGCACAGCTACAGTCACTTTTGAAGAAGTCGATATTTTCCGTAGGTCGTATGAGAGATCGAGGGTAACTCAATGATTGCGACAGATTTACCCCCGAGCACGTCCCAAAAGCACATTATGCCAAGGTGCTACGCGACGGGAACTTCCTGACCTCTGAGCCTCAGTCCTACCGGGTTTTGTATGGATTCGTTAATCTACAGCCTAAACCGTGTTGAGATATATGTCTGCCCCCGCGTTTTAAGTAAGTAAGACTCACAGCAGCGGGGATACGAGCGTGCGTACTTACTAGGCGCGGAGTAGAGAGATGGGGTACGCCGGAGTAGATGGGATGTGTGGTCGAGTCAGAATATTGCAGCCTAGAAGTCACTGTGCAGCTATTGCTTTTAGCGATGTTACCTGGTGTTTGAACATAGCCTCCAGCTTTTGCATAGCCGCTTGATAGGCAGACGTACAAATATTACCTATCGTAGCTGCCTAGAAGTGGTATTTATCCAATGTTTTGACCTGGAGATCGATTAGTATTGATAAGGAAATTAAACTGCACCCCTCCCCACATAAGGAAAGGTGCTGGAGAATAAGATCTAGGAATCTGTGAGTAAAAGAGTATCTGCTCTCTTCCACTGTTTGCAACACCGGCCTTGTTGGTACTTCGAGATAGTTTATTGCCGTCCAATACAGAATCCTTTGGACAATATGACTTCAGCTTTCCGGGGTATGTACGGGTGGACGTCAAAGTTTGCAGCAGAGGAGAACAAGAAACTATCTGACGAAGATCTCAAATTAGTCGAAGAGGTACGTTTACTTCGGTTCTCAAAAAAAAAAAAAAAAAAAAAAAAAGGAGTATTACAACCAGACAACTTACCAGCTTTAGATCTCCAAACTCCAAGTTACTAGCAGCCCCCCAGATCCAGCGATCAAGACTCTACAAACACGGCTCCTAACATCCACAAACCAAATCGCCCACTTAACACGCGAGAATGCTGATCTCAAGCATCAACTCCAACGACTCAATGAAGAGCGCAAACAAGCCGTCGAGGCCGGTGTTAATAAAGTTCTGGAAAAAGAATGGCTTCCTGTCTTCAGACAGCTCGACCAAGATAATAAACAGCTTCATGCCCGAAATATTGCTTTGAACCGCCATATCTTCAACGGGGAGAATGAGCTTGTACATCTACGTGCCGAGCAGGCAGAGATGAAGAGATCTACGCACATTGCCGAACAAGCCGTGAGGAAATATGAGCAGCAAGTAAATAAGCTGACCGAGACGATCTCGCGCAACGGGCCGAAAGAAGAGGCTAGACAAGGAACCACACGCGATGATGACTATTTTGCTACCGAGTTCTCAGAGCTGGTAAACGGGGTGCAGCAGTGGGTGTTTAGACATTTTAGAGGTGGGGCCGAGGATAGGTTGGCTGGGCTAGAGGGGGACTTGAAAAGCGCCTTTGAAGAGTGTGTTCACGAAGCCGAACCAGTAAAGAAGTCGAGGGCGCAGTTAGACGCAATCTCGGCGATGGTAGTATGGATGTTGAATAGAGATATATTCCAGACGTTTAGATACCTGGCTTTCGGGGACCTGCAAGAGCCATTTGCGATCTTGTACGATACAATAGAGGGGACTGGTAAGTATCTAGAGACCATCTGTTTCCAGCATAACAGCTAATATTTATACCAAAAAAAACAGAACTTCAACGACATTTGTGGCGCTCAAAGACTGTTGATATGCTATGCAAGCACCCCGACGTTCTTGCTGCTTTCGCCACAGCGGTCGAAGCTCACACGAATGATCTCTCCGCGCTTTTCACTCCCCTGTGCGCTAAGACCTCTAAAGTTGAACTACGCACCAAGTCCCTCCATGCGCTTGTCGAAAAGACCGCAAAGCTAGCTCTGGAAGTTGCGCAACAGCAAGCAGTCTTTGACTTGTGGCCAGTTGCCCCCGGGGAAGAGTATGATACGTATTTGATGGAAGATGCTGCAGCAGATGCAGAGGAAAGAGAAGATGAAGAAGATAGCGAAGCGGAAGTGAGGGTACAGCTATTCCCAGCGGTGCTGAGGATGGACTTTGATAGAGATGGCGTGAGAAGAGACGATAATATCGCGGTGGTGTTGAAGGCAAAAGTTGTCTCGAAGCCTGTGGCAAAGATCGAGTAAAAAGGGTAATGAAAGGGGGTTTTCGTTTATTTTGTAGGCATATACTTTCAACGTTCGAAATCTTCGACTTCGTAGAGGGAAAGATAAGGTTATCGAGAGGTGGATGATTCCACCGAAGGAATCTTGTTGTAGTGATGTGACTGTTCCGTATAATCTATACTGTTTTCTAGGGTGTCCTCCACAGCGTCCTTCAGAAAGTTCGCACCCGCATGATACACTCTACATTATCGAGCGCGCGACACGTAGTCACAAATACAAATTGATTGCTAATTAGGATATATATTTAATCGTACCCTGCTGGGCCATGTAAGCTCCCGACGCATGGTGAAGTGTCTTTCACAATGTGAAGTTCACATGAAGTCACTCGATCACCTGACTCCTTGATCCTAATATCCCTTAAGCTATCAATACTAACAATCTTTTATAGGCCAACAAGCAACAGAAGATCCGAGCAACCCATTAATAGGAGACTGACCAGGTCGAATAAAAGATAAGAAGTCCTAGGCCTTAGCAAACCCATGATTTTAATGGTACCCATAAAAAAGAGTCATGTTTCTACAGCTCATGAGCACGAGGTAGTTGGGATCCTGGTTAGTGTGGACAAGTACGAAGGCTTGTGAAGGGCAAAGAATCTCAAGGAAATGATGCCATAGCTTGATGACTGGCTCGGGCGAAAGTTTCCCCTTTCCTGTTATACTGATTAAGCCCTTTGATCTTCAAAGTACTGGACATTGGTCGTACTCCATCGATTGCCTGCCACTTACTATATTGCAGTCTTTAGCTTAGATTTTTAAGTACAATATCGTACTTAGAAGCATCTATAGCGTGATAGTAGGTTATTTATTAGCCATGAGGTATGATTAGGGCCGAATTAACTGTAAAGGATTAACCAGACCAATTCATTCTATTAAGGTGTATTGACTACATGGATTCAATACTAATGACCAGAATTCCTGGATAGTAGGCCTATTCGATCTAATAATACCATTCAACCCTGGCTTTCAGTGGTCAGCGAGCAACATCTGCGCTGTGCCCAATCTATTTACTTTGAACCAAATCCAATCAACTCACGCCGGTTTAAACTCGTCAGTCGTCTCTCATGCTATGTGACGGGGATACTAGTCGGCGAAGTATCAAGTTGAGTTGATTTTTAGGCAACAAATCCAAATTAGTACTAGCCTGACAGGGGTAAATGATAGATTAACCAGCGTATATTGGAAGGAGCTATCGTATATGTCGATTAGTAAGTTGCAATGATATTTCGGCTTCACCAAGTCAGTATATTCGTATTTACGGTGGAATAAGTCCGATATCGTGGTATATAATAGATCTTGAAGGACTGGAAATAAGGACCACCATCAGCAAGAAGAACAGCAGCAATCAGCATTCAACAGTGATAAGAAAAGTCAAAATGTTCTCAATCAACTTCACCTTCCTCCTCCTTGCGCTCTCGCCAATCGCGACTCTCGCAGCTCCTCGTCCTCATCCTGAAATCACCTCTTACACCCTTCCTGGAAACAATACCTTCCCCGAAGGTGTAAGCCGCCAGCCCAACTCACCTTATTTCTATTCCGGGTCTATCACCACAGGTACACTCTACCGTGGTAATATCTACACTCCAGAAATGGAAGTTTTCATTCCCAACACCCCAAGCACCTGTCTCGCCGGAATCAAAGTCGACGACCAGTACCGCCTTTATGGCGCTGGCTGCACCAGTGGTTCCGTCTTTGTCTATGATGTTAATACTCGCGATTTACTTTACACGTTTACCGTATCTTATAACGGGAGCTTTTTGAACGATCTCGCGATTGCAGATGATGGGTCCGTGTATATCAGTGATTCATACCTCCCATACTTGCTCTACATCACCCCCGATCAGCTCGCTGCGGAAGAAAAAGAACAGGAACTGAAGGTCTATACCAAACTTGATGCGGTGATTCCTTATACATACGCGGCCGGTGTCTCTGTCGGAAATGGGATTGCCGTGACAAAGGAACAGGAATACGTCATATTGGGAAGCTGGGAAGGCAGAGCCATTTACCGTATCTCTTTGGATGACAGCAAGGAAATTTCTCCTATCGATTTGGGCGGGAAAACGGTATATATCTTCTACTTCCTCGTACGCGTGATATATACATAACATCTGCTAATGAAACCGAGTAGATTGGCAAAGTTGACGGTCTACTCCTCCGGGGCAAGACTCTCTACTCCGTTAACTCCGGCTGGGATCTTGGGCTCTTTATCGATGTGATCGAGATCGAGTACCCGTACCTTGAGGCGACACCGGTGGGGACTCTCACGAGTGATTTGTTCTATGGGCCTGCGACTGCGGCATTTGATGGGGATGATTTGTTGGTTACGAATTTCCAAGTGAACTTGCCAAACCCACATCTGCCCTTTGATATTGTTAGGATACCACTGTATCAGAAGGCATGAGTAGAGTACATGTAGTGGCTGGAATAGTTGTTACAGATAGTGATTAGACTTCGGTGCCAATATATTATCGCTTATAAATTGTTAAACAAGATCGTGGTCATGAAATATCACTCGTTTATTTTAAGGAATAAAGCAAAACCTACCATAATTCTACCCTCACGGTGATTGAACTTTGCTGGAAGTATCGTAGGGATAGAGTTTAGAGAGAGGCATTTGTTAGCGAAACAGGTTCCGTTCCCTCCGAACGCCGAAAGTTTGGTAGGGATGGAATTTCGAGAGGTGGGGTTTCTCTGTACTCCAGACTTTGTGTTCTGGAGCTATAGATCCCCTATTACGGCACTGTTGCTAGCTGGTGTATACTGAACGAGTAAGTTGTAAAAAATACTCATACATTTTGTTAAATTGTTTCCTGACCCATTGAGCTATTCTCGAGGTAAAAAAAACCAACCAGTTTCCAGAAAAACCTCCTGACCCCGTCAAGGAAGACCCTACTATTCAGAATATCACTCCTCTCAACACTAACTAATTCATACGCCCGCAATTCGCACTGAGCGAGAAGGAGGCGCTTCAAATTTCTACCAAACACCCTCTACAAAGGGGAAAAAAAAAACACAAAAGAAGGAGAGAAAAAAGGAAAGAAAAGGGCCAACCCGGCCCAATAAGTACACTTAGAAGATATCGTCCACGTCCTTCCATTCACCACTGTGCCTCATCCCCCAGTAGTCGCCCTTCGCCTTCCAGTACTCCTCGCCAGTGACTTCACAAACCGCCTTCTCGAACCACCTTGGCTTCCACTCTTCACCACTCTGCTCCCGATCTCTCCTCTTCGCTCTCTGCTTCTCCTCCAACCTGTTCTTCTCTGTAGCTGCAAAGTCATATTCTCCCTCTTCCATCGCTCTCTGATCAGGTCGGAGACGTGTATCAGTGGGGCAGAGTACGGGCTTGAGATTATCAGGGATTGCGTTAAGGGTTATGCTGAACGGGGTGAGATTGAAAGGTGCTGGTGGACGCGGGTGGTTCTCCCAGACCAGGAAAGCAGGGTTTGAGCCACCTCCGCCGTTAGCAGGAGGTGGGGCCACTGCAAGGTCTTGGCCTGGAGAGAGGCGGGCGTAGATTTTATCGTTCCATCGGCCACCAACACTCCACACTTGAATTGCGTCGGCGTTGAAGACTCGTCCCTTGACCTCGTATGCGGTTGATACACGCCAACCTCGTGCCTTGAAGTCGAGCTGACAGCTGTCTCCGGTGGTCCAGTTCTTGATCTCCATGAGACCGTAGTTGTCAACTGTTGGGGAACCTGTGATGATACCAATAACGGATGTTGTGACCTTTTTCCACGTGTATAATTCCTCCCCTCCGTCTGGGGTTCGGAGACGAAGGAACCATGTACCGAGCGGGTTGATGTCAAAGCTCTTTCCGTAGAATTTACTTCGAACAGCGGATTCACCCCAGTAATCCCATTTCTCGGCCTCGGCCCATGCTGCACCGATGGGAGGATGATGGGAGACTTGCTCGATCATGAAGCGGTAGTTCTTGTCAGGACGGACGTACTCATAGGTCTCACCAAGAAGAGGATTGAAAGGCTTTGCGACACGATCAATGGTTGATGAGTACTCAGAAGCAGCAAAGGCGGCAACATAAACCATTCTTTCAGTAGAGTCGGAGCGATCAGCAGCTAGGTCAAGAAGGTCGGTGTATTCCATATCCTCCGCTACACGTTGAAGTAGCGATGTAGGCTCATTGAAGGAGACCGGAAGTGTCATCTTTGTCATATCCTTTCCGATCATGGATTTCAGAATACCCTGCTTACTGTTAGTATTTTTCACTCATAGGATATCACTCGGCGACTTACCCAAAGCGAAATTTTCGGCCTATCGTCTGCATCCATGCTCAACTTTGCTCTTGGTGGATCTTCATAACCCTTGAAACTTGTCTTGACAGCAACCAACTTCTTCTGTCTCAACACCAATGCTCCCTCCGTCTCCCCGACTTCACCTTCGGGCCCTTCGCCAAGAGCCATATTCTTCTCTGAAAGTCCTGGGCTTTTGAGGCTCATGACACTGATTGGCATCTCCGAAACAACCTCCATCTCACCACTGTCAATCGCGTCAAAGAATTGGTCAGTATCCTCGTCGTCGGAATCACTATCACTGTCCACTACTAGCGCCGGACTCTTCAACGCCGAACCAACCCTGGCGAGTTCGACACTATTAAGTTGCCCGTCAAGGTTCTCAGAGGTGCTGTGATCTAGTCTAGGGCTCATTGGAGCGCTACCACTATTTCCCCGGAGAACCTCCTTTAGCGCACGTTTAGCCTTCTTCTTCTTTTCGCGCTCACCAGCTGCTTTGCCCTCAAGAGTTTCTTGCTCGCGCGCCAAGACAGCCATATTCTCCTCCCATATTTTTCGAAGACTGATCTCCTTCTCAATGCGATACCGCCAGTAGGAATCGCGTTCCTTACTCATTGAGAGAAGTTCCTCAACAAGTGTTTTGAGACTGGTGACAGCACTTTCATAACTACTCAAAGCTCCAGTAACCAGAGGATCGCTAAGCGTGAGGTCGGGGTTCTTCGCATGTTCGAATTGAACAGCGAGTACAACTTGGCTAAGAAGATCCAACTGCAATCTTGCAGAATTTCCTAGTAGAGATAGAGCATCACTAGTTGGCGGTTCATGGTGTCCGTTAGAGCTATTGTCATCATCATCCATGTCACCCTCCCGCTCATCTCCAGAGCCACCGCTGCGGCTGCGGCTGGATTGACGATGTTTTGACGGGCCGCTCGTGCTCTGTTCAAAAAAGTCACTTTCCTCACCCTCCGTGGGAGCAACAAAGCTGCTACCGGTACGGAAGCTTGATTTTCTATTATCTCCCGAAGATCCCCCGACGCTGCCGCGACGACTGGATACTGTGTCGTTGTCCTCGTGACGTTGCTGCTCTCGCATCCGTCCCATCCGCTCGGCCTCGCCGGCTTTCCGGCGCTCCTCTTCCCTCGCTTCGTCTTTGGCCCATTGTATGGCATTGTTCAGGGTCCAGTACCAGCGTTTGGCCTCGACCACGTGGTTTGCTTTGAGGTGATATTTGACGGATCCTTTGCCATGGATTTCAAAATTCTGTTTGTCTTGTGCATCCATGTGAAGTTTGGCAATCCTCATATTAATTGCACCTCGGCAAGCGGAGCCAATATCGTCTGTAGATGTAAATATTAAGCAAACGTTTTTTGGGAGGACATGGGGACGCTTACCCTGATGTTTGTAATAACTCAATACCCCGTCTTCAAGCACAAACCATCGGAGTTTGTATCCGCTAGTATAATTTGTCCATTTCTTCAAGTACCCCTTCATTTCCCTTCCCTCCTTTCCAGCGATGCCAGTCGCAAAGGTTTCCCCCACAGTAGCCAAACCAGTTGCAGCGACCTCTGCGGCACTCCCAAGAACAGCCCTCTCCTCTATTCCCCGAGCAGCGGCTTGCGCGGCAGGGCTCTTCTTGAGCATGTTTTTTGTTTTGTCATCCTTTGTTACGTCCTGCGGTAATTTTCCCTTATTATCTCTCCTGAACGGATCCGCGCCGTGCAGCAGGAGGATCTCGATTAATCTAGTATCCCGCCGTCTGGCAGCATCATGTAGTAGTGTTGATCCGCCACCATTGGTGGGCGGTTCGAGAGTATTGAGGTCCAATAGCCCCTTCACCCTTGGAACTTCCAGAAGTTTTTCGATCCGTTCGTAATCCTGCTCTGCCACGAGTCGGGTCAACTTCTCGATTGTTTCCTCTAGAAACATACTTCGTGCCAGCTGTAGCATCTGAAATACTGCCGGGGTCCTTGAGATCTCTAATGGTGTTCGATTATTATAGTTGTGAATACTGTCATTAATCTCTGCTTGCTTCAATAATAGCGATACGACCTCTGCCCTTCCAAGCTTCGCCGCCGTATGTAGCGGCGTATTACCTGTCGCTGGATCCCGATGGTTGATATCCAAGTATGGTAATCCGGACGGGGTAGCCGCGTCGGTCGTGGTGGTCGACAGGATATACTCTATCACCTCAACTTCGGCACACTGCACAGCCAACTGTAGTATAGAGCTCCTGATTGCATCATCCACTGGACCCTCCCTGATGGTCTTCGAAATTGCCATAGTGTCTCCATTCCTCAGCGCTTCATAAAGTCGGAACGTGCGAACAGTATCCTCGACACTTTTTGCATTCCCGACTAATACTCCCGAGCCGCCGATCAACGATGTCGCAGATGTGTTTGCAGTTGAGGGCAAAGGTGGTGGTTCTTCCGTGATTGGCTTAGATGATGGGGATCGAAGTGAGATGCTTCGTTTCGGCGCTGAAGCGGTCGAGGAGCTCGCAGGTGTTAGGTACTGAGTTGAGGAGTTTGGAGTTACAGCGGCAGACGCGTTGCGGGAATGAGATTTGGAAGGTGAGTTGCTGGAGGATGAGTGTAGGAGTGAGGAGACCATTGCGGAACGGGTCCTACGATGCCTGGATGGAAATTTCATAGGTAAGCTAAACCTGAAAGCTTGATAAAGTGATAAAAAGAACAAAGGAGTGAATGAATGGATAACGAAAGTTCGAGTGAACAGGACGAAGACGGGAAGAATGGTGGAAAGGATCACGATGTAAGTTATGAATGAAAGACTTACCCTCCATCGTTACGGCTGCTCCCCTCGGACATTGCGGGTAGACGAGCGAGGGAGGCGGAAGTGAAAAAAGTTAACTAATTTGGGATGTGCGGCGTTCCCGGTGGAAGATTCAGAGAATAGCGAGCGTTCAAGCTCGGTGAAGCGGGGTTCAGCAGCGGGTTACGATGACGATGATGATGGTATGTATGTATGTATGATGGGGGAGGTTGAGGAGGGAAGATGCGGCGACAAGAGGTTTTATTTTAGGACACCAGGATGGGGGATTGATGGCTTTTCACGTGCTTGAACTATACGCCAAGTTAATCGTTCATTCAAAATCGTGGAGTTCGATGTGGTGGTGGTGGTAGTGCAGTGCAGT